GCCAGGCAGCTGGGCAGGGGCAGTGGACGGCCGTGGGCCGGACAGCTGTCACCACCACATTGGCCGGGTCCACGGCCGGGATCATGACCCTTTTCGCCCGTCGGGTGCTCGTGGGTCACTGGGACGGGCTCGATGTCTGCAACGGCTTGCTGGGCGGGTTTGTAGCGATTACCTCGGGCTGCTCGGTCGTGGAGCCTTGGGCCGCGATCGTTTGTGGGCTTGTAGCAGCCTGGGTTCTAATCGGGCTCAACGTCTTGGCCCTGAAGATGAAGCTCGATGACCCGTTGGAGGCGGCCCAGCTGCACGGGGGGTGTGGGGCCTGGGGCTTGATATTCACCGGGCTGTTTGCGAAGGAGGAGTTTGTGGCGCAGGTTTACGACTCGGGCCGTGTTGGGCCGGGCCGGCCGTACGGGCTCTTGTTGGGTGGTGGTTGGGGCCTGATTGGGGCTCAAGTGGTTGAGCTTTTGGTTGTGGTGGGATGGGTAAGCTTAACTATGGGGCCATTGTTTTATTTGCTTCATTGGCTTGGGATTTTGAGGATATCAAGAGATGATGAAGTGGCTGGGCTTGATGTGTCCAGCCATGGAGGATATGCTTACAACAATGCTCATCATGAAGAGGAGACGGGCCCACTGGTTTATGGTGAATATATGCGGCTGCAAAATAATTTGTAGTTTCTAAATTATTTATCTCATGTGCAGAATTTTCAAATATTTGATTATGATTGTATGTATAATTAGTATTTACATAATTTCGAATTGTTGTTGTAGCATAAAAATAGGGTATATGATATTATAGTTCATCTTCAACTGCAACAATATGAGTATATTATAAGTTCGTGTCATTTACAATTCAAAGAACATACATACACTACATCTTGGCTGTCTTTAAAGATATAGATTCAGTCCAGAGTTTTTATTTACAAGCCTACAGAAAAAGCATCAAATATGCTAGCTAATCCCACTCGGAATCGAAAAAACCAGCATCTTTCATCTCCGAGTAATATGCATTATCCAAAAGCCAGTCTTCCTCCTGCCGATATGATGATATCACAAAAAAGCAAATAAACGTAACTTCTTATTCTTCTTCAAGTGCATGCGTATGAAAATGTGATTACCTGGAAGAAGTCGGCTAGGAAAGTTGCGTAGAGGAAAGGGAGATAAAGGGAGTGGCGGCAGATGATCATGAAATTGTACAACCTGGCAGAACGATTGGACGAGATGAAACAATACGAATATATATGCATTGGACATATATAATTGTAATTTGCGAAGGGCAAAAAAAGAAGAATAATTTACCAAAATCCTAAGCCAAACCCAATTCCAGCCAATCCACTAGCAAACAATCCCACAACATTTACGATGAACATGCAGACAACGTAGTTGTAGAATGATGGCCTTGCTGCAAATCGTGCAATTTGTTTATGGGTTCAGAGAAGTAAAAAAACATGTAAAAGGACTCGACATGAGAGAAGGTTTGACTCACGTGGCAACTTATCTTTCCACTTGGAATAATGAACGAACAGTATGTAGCAATAGACTGATGCAAGCACCAATATGTGAAAGAACACTATACTCCACTTTCCCCAGTGTGTAGCAGCATCACTGTTGATGAAGATAGGTACTCCAAAACCGAAAATGAAGATTGCCTAAAACAATGACAAATTCATCAGCTTCAAGCTATTTGGATATGAGAAAATGGGACTAGATCAATTCAGCACGATCTTGTTAGAAGTTCTTCCAATCTGAACCGCATAAAAAAGCATATTTTCTCATGGTCATATGCGTGTGGTAACCAGTTAAACCAGACTATATGGTTTATTTGTGTGACATTATGTATATGATATTATGACTCACCACTTCAAAGGCCTGCCCTCAAGTATAAATATTTTCTGTTTTAGTTCGCTTTTCAAAACCCAGAATCAGATACTACCTCCTGTTCATTATAAAATGGATGAATCACAAAAGTCAAAACGACATTTATAATGAATAGGAGGGAGTATGGTATTTTGGATGTAATAGCAAACACATCAACTTAGAAGCTTAGGGAGTACTTGTTTACCAAATAATTCACCCGTATTTAATTCATACTCAATCTAACTCAACTTCAACTCAACCCCACTATCCTTAATATTATTCATATAATTAAATAATATAATTCATATAATTAAATAATATAACCCAATCATTTTTACACATCCCATCACCTAAATTTTAATTAACTATCATTTCACACCATTTTTTTCCTACTTTTACATTTAATCAACTTTAATTATTTTATTTTAAATAAAAATTCAAAATCCCACTAACAACTAACTATATCATCTTTTTCAAAATCAACTCTAGTTAACCAAAAAACTCACGAATTAATTTGTAAACAAACACGCCCTTAAACTACTAGAAACAAGAGATGGTTGCTACCTGAACAAGCAAATCAACAGCTACAAAGGAACCTGTAATAAGGAAAGTATGTGCAAGTGCTTCTAATCCATTCGCATAATTATCCTGGAGCAGGAATGCAACTATGCTGATCTCTAAAGACAGCATCCCACATTCAGTGAATAATGACAACAAGTTCCAAGCAACTACCTTATCAGGAGCACACTGCCATCCCTGTTTTTTTATCTCATAAAGATCAGTAAACAATAAACGGGTGATATCCACTTCAACTATTAGACGATCGATATTAAACATGATACAAGCGAACTTTACCAGAGAACATATCTAAGAAGACAAGTTTCTTTAGATTAAGGCCGCAAGCAAACAATTACGGATGAAATCAATAATGTGAATCTTAAATGCATTTCCAAAATCGATGTTCTCAGCATGACTCTTTACAGAAATCCAGATTGAACAAAACATTTTAGTCATTTTTAATAATCAATTCAGCTAGGACATATAATGCAAAATCAAATGCTCAACATCAAAGAATACATCTTTATCAGGTAAACGTTTCAAAAGAGGACAATCCATTTTAAGTGTGAACTCTAAAGTCAAATTCTTCAACAGCCCTAGCTGCTAAATTACAGCTGACGAAGTATACTCAATCTGATCCAACCTAGTTACCTTACAGCCCTAGCTGCTAAATTACAGCTGACGAAGTATACTCAATCTGATCCAACCTAGTTACCTTTCATTATGTAAACTGTTAGTATGCAATTCAAATTAAAATTCCCACTGAGAATAACAAAATTCATGAAGGTCATAGATACACATAAGTCCAACCATAATATCAATGAAATAATTCAAAGCAGACTTCAAATTCTAAGTCCTGATACTACACACCAACACCACACACACACACACACACACACACCAAA